TGATGGATAATAGCTGTACTAAAAAGATTAATATCTGCGTTTTTGCACAAAAGCGAATAATCATAATATTACATAGGATGACCCAATTTGGTTTGAGATGATTTTAGAAATTAAAATCACCTTAAATTGAACATTTTTATATCTATGAAAAACAGCAGATGTTAAAATGGTTTTTAGACTGTTTTACACTTTGCAATTGTTGAGATCAAATGTCAATAATGTAACCGGAAGAAGTCCCCTCAGAACTTACACCCCACCAGCGAAGTTTAAAAAAAACTATTTCCCATTTAACTTCCTGTTGCCGGTTGCCCATGGTGATGAAAGGCCTAGACTAAGTGCTTCCCAGCTTAAAGCTACGCTAAGCCACAACCAAATCCTTCCAGAGAGGGCTGTGCTTGCTGGACAGAGTCAGACTACGCTTCCTGCATAGTCTGACTCGTTCCTACGATTCAGACTGTTGTGGCTGTTGACTGCAGTGTTTCCTGAAACCTGCAGCAATGGAGAGCAAATCCAGCTCTGGATGACCTAAATCTAAGCACCGAAGGAGCAACACCGGGGGGCCAAATTGCTGTTTGCCGAGGAGCCGTTAGAAGCCCCTGACCCGTGCCATACTGGTCTCGCTACGAGAGCCGATGCCACTGCCAGTTAACAACCATAGTTAAATAGAGACGTCCCGGGCTACAGTGAGTTATAAAATAAGGTGACCAGATTTCTAAAATCTAAATTTTCATTAAGATAATTTAAAGCTCTAAGATAAAAAAAAAAGTACAGTTCAAGATGAAATTAGGAAATGGGGACAGTAATGGTTTCATTTATTTTTAGTGTTTTCATGACTGAGAAAACCCTCTCTACTGGTGCATTACTTCCAGGTAAGCATTGGACAACAGACGATAATCTAGCCAGGTTAGTGAATGGGATGTCATTTTCTTTAAAGTGGTTAAACACTTTGCTCCATCTCTGACTGTCTGAGATTTTCTCCATTCATCAAATGATCCCCCTTTAAGGAACTTGTGCAGGGCAGAAACCTCATCAAATAAATCATCTGCTCCGATGGTTACATGAGGGCGTTTTTCTCGAAGTGAGGCTGTTGCTTGCTGGATCTCTTGAAGCAGGGGCAACTTCTTTAATAAGAGACAGTGGAAGTCGTTTAAAAAATCTGCATGTTTTACTCATGCTTCCAAATACTTCAGAGCTGGTGTGAAGAATGACGTTAAGTTTTCAGGAAGGTCTGTCTTGTTGTTGCTCCATTTTCCTCAAGCTCCCTGAGAAGGCTTTGCACCAGATGTGCGATAAAGTGGTTATCATGGCTTGCTGTCAGTTTTGTTTCCAGCTTTCTCTCAATTGCTGCTGACTTAAGAGCACAGCGGTCCTGGCCTTTAAGCATTTTGATGGCATCATTGAATATGGGCAGGTATGCATGGACAAAGGCCAACCGCATTTCAGTCAGTAGATCTTCAAACATCCTTTGCAGGAAAAGAGGGCACTTTTCTTCTGAGAGGAAAAAAAAAAACATTTTAGGGGTTCATAGATTTTCAACACTACTAGAAAAGCCTGGAAGTCTATTCTCATAAATCACAGCCGTAAATCAGAAAAACAACTTAAAGTAACTAACTTTCTCAAATATAACCTAAAGGTCACCAATCAGTTCTAAAACATCGTTAAATAAACCGTTGTTGAAGGAGAACCACCAAACCAGATTGGCACCTTACAAAGAGTTTTCAAACCGAGTCTCTTTCACTCATACCAGCAGTAAACAGTGGTCCTGCCTTGCTACTTTTTACTGACTATTCTTTAACCTGGAGATGAAGCAAACATTTTTCTTAGGATCAGCTCAATCCAAATAAAATGGATAGACTAACACACTTACCATAACACTGGGTAGCTCCTCCTCAGTTGTGTTGGGTTGTGATAACAAACTTCGCTTTTACTTCTTCCTCTGTTTTAAAAGTGGTGCACTCTTATCATTCAGTCATTACAGTCCAACAAGCGGTGCACTGAACTCCTCATTTAACAGCAGCACAAAAAGCTACCATATCTGTTTTTGCCACCAACACGCTGACGTGTTTTTGTACCGTAATAACCGTCTACACGCAATATTTCCACCCTCATTCATAAAACGGTATGGCCAATAGAGTGCGCTAGGACGCCGCCCCACCCACCCGCCCAATGACCCTGATTAAGACATTAAAAAAAATTATATATTTTTTTAGACTTTAATTTTAAATTAAAATTTAAAATATTTCAAAACATATTAATATCTATTTTTAAGATGTGCAAGATAAATATTTGATCTTTAATGACTAATAAAGCATCATTTCATTTTTCGTCTGATTGTGACGTATTTCCGCCATAGGGCGCAAAAATGTTTACCCATTGACTCTCGTTAAAGGTTGTACATGAGCAGTAGCTCCTCTGCAATACAAACTTATAGGACGACCCAAGGCGCAGCAAAGCAGCGACCTGAGGTGACATGAGGTGTATTTGTTCACCACCTCCTGCCACAAGCGCAGACATTTTGTGGGTGATTGGAAGGTCAAGTCGTGGGAGATGGAGAGAGAGAGAAAGAAAGAGAGAGAGAGAGAAATGGCACAAGAAACTTCCTTTTCCAGAATCTGGTTTAGCACAGAGGCTTGGCTAACTTCATGTAGCGAAGCTAACCCTTTATTCTGCTTTCCCTGCTTCCTTTTTCAGACGTCAGCATCTGGCCCAGCGTGGATAAAGACATGTAGGACTGATTTAAAGCACCTTTTTAGAAAAGGCAAAAAGCATGAACAATCTGGAATTCACATGGAAAATAATATATAATATATTGATATAGTGTACATTTTCTAGACGTTTGTTAATTTACAAAGTTGTTGTTAAATAAACACATTCTCAGAAAAGTATAGAGCTGACTGATAGCTTCTTCATTATTAAACTGATATATTATTTTTTTTTAGGTTTGTGACACCATATTGGAGCATGCCAAACGCAGATTTGCCTTCACAAAGCCTCAGAAGGGCAACATTTATGTAAAAAAAGTAAACCTATAGATGAAATTATGTTTTGTTTTTATAAAGTGTTTTCAATAATGTTTTTTGTTGTTGGTGTGAACTTTAACCTTTACTTTGTTTCAGCTGCACCCACCCGGACCAGACCTCCTGGGTTCAACTAATCTAACCCTTTCTCTTTCAGCCTCATCACATTTTAATGCATTTCTGAATTATTATTTATTTTTCACCATACAACCGAATGAACCTGCTCTGTTTTGACTCCATCTAACATTTGTGTGTCAGGGTTTATTCACATTAATGTGCTACTATTTTAAAGGACACTTTTAATGCACTAAGCCTTAAAACTCAAACATTCCTCAGAGACTCTTCAAAGGACTCTTAAACACCTTTTCCCCTTGCATTTGTTTATTTGTGCTTATTTTCAGTAGTGTTTAGTGCCTATCTAGTTATTAGATATAATAACTCTGTGTGATTAGTAGCTAATAAAGGTACCATTGTATTTCAACTAATGGTCTTTTGCGTTTATTTTACATAGTGAATTTATTCAGGCCTAGCACACCTGGAGGAGAAGAACACCCACATTCAGATGCTGTTCCTGGACTTCAGCTCAGCTTTCAACACCCTCATCCCAGAGCATCTGATATGAAAACTGGAACAAGTGGGCTTCAATACACCCCTCTGCAATTGGGTGCTAGAATCCCTCACAGACAGACCTCAGTCAGTCCGGGTTGGACAGAACACCTCTGATGTCATTACTGTAAGCACAGGCTCCCCTCAGGGCTGCGTCCTGAGCCCCCTGCTGTTCACCCTGATGACAAACAACTGCGTCCCCAGGTTCACCACCAATCACGTTGTTAAGTTTGCAGACCACACCACAGTGGTGGGTCTCACCAGAGACATCAATGACCTGGACTACAGCGAGGAGTTGGAGCAGCTGGTGGGCTGGTGCGAAGATAACAGCCTAATCCTGAATGTGGAGAAAACAAAGGAGATCATTGTCAACTTCAGGAAGAACCAGCCTAACCACGCTCCACTGCTCATCAACAGCTCAGCTATAGAGGTGGTCAGCAGCACCAAATTCTGAGGGGTGCACATCACAGATAACATCAACTAGACTATAAACACCACAAACACCTGTGTATAAAAAATGACAATAAAAGTTGTCTAAATTCTTAAGCAGCATATACTACTTGTTGATTAGTAAGTTTAGTTTATATATTATCCACAGAAATAAAACAAGTCTGTAGTATTTAGACACAATGTGATCTAAGGAAGTTTAATATGTTTAGCTACTTTAGGATTAAGTCTTTTTTTCTAACTGAAATAAAGAATCAAATATTTTCACCTCACTCTGCAAAATATGCTATAAGCTCACAAACAAGAAAATATGTATACCTTCTATAATTGTTGGGCAATTTAACTTTAACTAGAGCTCAGATGAAAGTATTTTTTGCTCTCTGTCCCTCATCATGTTCATAAAGATTTTTATAGTAAACCTTCACTTCATGTCTTGCAAGGTTAGCTGGAGCTTACCGTTCAGTCAAATAGAGTCAGCATTCAAAATTTACCGCTTACCTCCACTTGTGTTTTGCCTTCTACCTGTCCCAAAGTACCATGTGCACCAATCTCCACTGTTCCAGGCGTTTGGTGTAACTGTTTGGGTATACGATATACAATGCAATAAAAAGACAGACAGACAGTTTGAGACTGAACAGCCAGTCTGGAATTCTCCAGAATGCACATAATTACTCTCAACCTGTGGTTGTGCTCTCAGTTTGTGTTTTGCAATGCTGGGTTGTATTTTTCCTTTTTTTGTGTCATCATCATGTTGGCTGGAGATATTTTTGTGATACCAGTACAGAATTGCAAATACAATGTCAGAGCACTTCAAAGATACATTTAGATATTATAAGATAACCAGCAGAAATCTGAAACAAAATGAGTTTTGAATGTAACAAACTGTCATAAAAGAAAAATGCCAAATTTCTTGACTTAAAGCATAGGAAAAGCAAAGCAGTTATTTATTTATTTACAGGTGTTATATATATATATTTTTTACATTGTACAGGTAATGAGGAACAGAAAAGTGCAACCTTTGAGGCTATATAGCTTTTAATCAGGGAATGTTTTAATAATGAAATGATTGTTAAAAACTCTTAACATAGCACACAGAACAATAATCTGTAATATATTTATAACGCTCTATTACTTTATGATCTATAACTATAAAACTTGTGCAGTGATTGTTTAATAAAATAGTAGAGAGTAAGATAAAGGGCTAATGCGCCAAATAATATAGAGAAATAATTTTATATATTTTAGCTGATGCTCTTCCTTAAACATTTATAAAATCAATCAGAATAAAACGTAGTTATTAATAGCATATAACCAGTTATTAAAAAAAAAAGTCTTACATGCTAAAACATATAACAATATTTTTAACAAGCACCACTTCCTCTTAAAGTCAATATTTAATCATCACCAACAAGTAGGAATGTGTACAGTATAAAGCTCATTTAAGATGATCACTTTTGATGAACACTGCCTTTAATGGACATTTTAATGTTTGAATATGTACACTCATCAGATGTCTCCCTCTTATTCTTCCATCTCGTAGGTTTTCGTGCAGAGAAGTTTAGTGCCACATAGTTCATCCCATCTTCTTCACTTTCCCGCTAAAATGTGTAAGACATTCCAGTTAGTTGGATAACTAAAAAGCTATTTATTTTCAGTTTGAAAGTTGTAATTTATTTTCAGTTTGAAGTTATAATTTAACACCCATGAAATGAGTGTTAAATTGCAACAGAGATGCATTACTTTATCTTAAACCAGTTAACTAAAATCTGTCTCTTTCCATCTCTGCTGTATCACTGAACAACTGCAAAATTATTATATTAATCTAAGCCTTCAACTTGTATGTTAGATCCAGCTACAGATAATGTGTAAGTCGCTTAAAGTTGCTTCTGCTTCAGATATCAGATTTTGTTCAGCCTTACTAAAGAGGAGCTTAATTGCCAGAAGTGGCCTAATACCAATATTGCATGGTCTCTAGGGTAACTTCATGATATGGACCCACATGGGAAAAGATTGCATTTTAGTGAAGACAACAGTCCTTTTTAACCCGGGTTGGAAAATATATATATATATATATATATATATATATATATATATATATATATATATATATATGCTGTTTGCGCTGTTTGCACTGCAGACAGTGCAAACAGCTACTAATAGTTAACTTTTAAAGACTTTTTAAAAAATCATTATGTAGAATATCTAATTTTATCTGATCCCCAATATATGATTAGATCATCCAAATTGCACGTAAATTGCAGCGATTGCAAAATTGGAATGAATTTGACCTTATATAACTGGATTGCATTCCCCATTCTGAAGGGGTTAAAGTTTAGTGACCTTAATGCTGATGACCCAGGTTAAAATTGGATTTGAGTCAGGAATGGCAGCTGTTGAAAAAACTTTGACAATTCTAGGCCTGTGACAACACCTGAACAAAGGATACACAATTATTAGACATGCTCTAGATTAATAGTCGCAATATATTATAGGTATCATTGCAATGTTGCATGTTACTTTGAACTAAATTTGACTAAAGATGTTCAGCTGTGTACTCTTGAACATTTCATAATTATGTTATAGGATGGAATTATAATTCCACTTTATTATCTTTACATTGTCACAAGTAAAAAGCAAAGAAATTCACTCCCTGTTTTTAACCCATCCCTTTGGGGAGCAACGGGCTGACATTATGGGGAAGCAGTGTGGGGGTTAAGGGTGTTACTCAGGGACCCAGAGTGGCAGTCTGCTGGAGTGGGGCTTGGACCCAGAACCTCTGGGATCCAAGGGTAATGTCCTTACCACTAGGAAACACCACTCCCCAACTAAATTGGGGAGTGGTAGTCAAGAAACACTGAAAAGCTATGGGATCAAGCTAAACAAGACTATTCTGACTATTCAAACCTAGAACTCAATGTTTACTACATTTTTCATCACACATCAAGCTGCTTTGTAGTTAATTATCAGCTCTCCTAGCCTATTATCTATTTACTTCTGTATCTAGTGAATATATCAAATGCCTTCCTGCACACTTTTACAAACCAGATTATAAGTACCTTAAACACTTTGTATCCCTCTGTCTGTAAAATATTTGTTTAACTTAATATTCTGGTTTTCAAATAACGTTTTTCTGGTTATTTGATTATATTTCAAACAGTATAACCAACCTCAGGAAAATTTAGACATCAAAGTCAAGTTTCAGAAATGTTATGCTTTGAATATTCTTAAAGTTGTCTTACCACATTGTATGGTTGGTCCTCATCCAGTTCAGTATGAGCTGCGTCAATTAAATCTCCTGTAAAAAGAAAAAAAAAAAAACATTAATTACAATAATCTTGCTTTCAGTTACTTAATAATCTCCTTGTCTTCCATATAAGACTTTAACAGTAGGGAAAATGTATTGTGACAAAAAGCAAATAGATATTGTCTCTGTCTCTTCTAATTTATGTGGTACAGAAAAGCTCATCGGTCTGAGTGTCGACCTACTGCATTAGATCAGATGGAAATGCATTGGAAGGTTCTGGGAAAAAAATGTCCTTTGTCACAGTCCTGTAAGTTGATTTGGTTTGTTTATTTTTTGTTTAGATACCCATTAAGATTAGATGTCACAATAAGCCTTATGTTTTGTTGTTTTTTTTTACATTAACACATATTGGGCTCCCGTAGTTACTGTAATATTTTGCCTCGTTTTCAATTTTTATATGATATCTCTGAAATGTGCTAAAACATGTGCTATAAACATGTACAGTTGGAGGGTCTATTGTTCCAGAATAAACTTACCTTGGTGATTGTCATGAAGCTGCTTTGGCTTTTTCCTTGTAAAAATCAAAGCGATGTTCACAAGTACAGAACAAGCCAAAAGTCCACATAGCACAATTGCATACAGGCAAAACTCTTGTCCTGAAAGAAAAAGACATTTCTATTTAATGTTACGTACATACGTCTTGTTTATTGAGTGTTTTCTTAAAGCTACCAAAAGCACAATGAACTTTTATATTCGCTATTGTCATCATACATTTTTTCCATCAGTTTGGGGTCTAAGGGCCCTGTCACACCTTGACGATTTAACCAGCGTATGCCTGACGTTCCAGAATCTTCTTAAACACTGGCATTTTTATGTATTTTTTTAATGTTGGACGTATGCATAGATAATTTAAAAAAAGGCAGCACTTTGTTCACAGTTAACCTAGCTGCTGTTTACCATCCACCCAATATAAAAGAATGAATAAAAAGAAAGAAGGTTTGCAGTCTCAGCAAATTCAGTGTCATGTCTCCTAGGAAGTTTGTTGGTCGTTCTGCTTGAAAGCAGGGAGGATCCATCACACTCACCTTCTCGTTCACCCTATGATGGGGATGAAATCTGGAGGAGATCTGACGGTTTCCTCCTGTGAATCCACTTTTATACCAAAATGCTGCCAAAACGGCATGATACATTAGCTGTAAAATGGAAAGACGTTCAGCAGTCGTCTGGAAGACGTCAGATACGTTGATATGCGTTGGAGATAAGTTACGCATAAGTTATGCAAAAGTTACTCATACAGTAGGTTTTGGATAAGCTAGACACCATGACTTATGAGTGACTTAAACTTAATATATCTCAACGATCAGATAACTTACCTGTAATGTATGCTCCATCTATGGCATACGCTGGCATACGTCGATTTTTTTGTACATTGGGCATACGCTGGCTAAATCGTCAAGGTGTGACAGGGGCTTAAAGAAGCATATCAAGGTTAAATCTAAATTACTTTCAATCACATTTAGCATTTTTAGAAAAAAATACCTAAAACTCTCTGCCTAAATATAAAAAAAAATACTGCTGTAGTATTTGTGTCAACCTTTTAAGAATAACCACTGTCGGTGGGTGTTTTTGGATTCTGCTTTAATTTATCATTTGTGGTGGAGGTCGGTTTGCCATTGTTTTTTCGTATTACTGTGATCATTCTAAGTTTGGTTTGGTTCTAAGAATTCTTCTGTTACCTAATTACTGTACATTAATCCTTTATTTTCTTCTGCCCCATGTGCTATTTATTTAGTCGTGTTTGCTTCACTGGTTGTGGTGGAATATTGTTTTCATGCCACACCATCTACAGAAAATAAATCTGTTGATCTCACTGACCCATCTACCTCCTTTCTGCACACACATCTTGGTCCGCTTCACAATACTGCATGCTTGTAATAACATACTGATAACTTTTCTTTAGATTATAAGTAAGAGGAAAACTAGTTTTTTGTAATACATTATATGTAGGGATATTTTTTACATGGGCTATGGGGCTCACAACCCAAGGGGGCAATGTTCTCAGATGTTGGAAGAATACTACGTTTCTTTTAGTTGTAAAACCTGTTAATTACACTGCTGTAACTCATCAATTAATCATTTACTGTCGATAAATTATTTTTGCTTCTAAAACTTTAATATAATTATGACTTCATTGCAAAAGCTCGAAACTGCATGTTTTTAAATCTTTGTCTAATTGCATACTTATCTCCACTTTGGTTCCTTCTCCAATCAGGATCTCGCCACATGTAACCACGGCACAGTAATAAGTCCCAGTATCCAAGGGGTTTTTAACAGTTTTGGACAGCCGGTATTCACAGCTCCTCTCTGCTTGTTTGCCGCAACGTTTTTTATCAACATAGATGAATCCTGGATTAGATTCTGATTGTGCTCTAAACCAGAACACGTTGTGTTCATCCGTGCACTGGTCTAGGCTTTCTTTTTCTGTCCTCTCAGAGAAGAGTGAACACTGCAGAGTCACCTCAGTACCAAGTGAAATAGACTTCACGTCCAAAGTTTGGCCCACATAGAGATACTTCTTATTTCGAGAATCTGAGTGTCAAAAATTAAACAAAAACAAGGGGTAAAAATAAGAACTGGTTTAATTAGACATTAATCAAAGCAGCAGAAAGCAAAGAATTAAGAGATCTTACCATTTACAGCCAAGTTTGTCCCATTAACAAATGCCAGCTTGTATGCTGCACCTGATTGACAAAAGTATATTGCCTCGTCCTCTTTGCTGACATTAATGATGGTGAGGATATGCATACTCCCTTTGTTATCAATTTGAAATCTTGATTCCAGAAAAGGATTTTTCCTTTTTATAGATCCAAAAGTACCTGAAGCAATCGTTTGGACCATATATCCATAATTCATCTTATACCAGAAAAACAATCCATTTTCATGCCCAGATGTATTACATGTCAGATTCACAGTTTCACCAAGTCCAGTTTGGATCAGAGGTATGTTGTCAGGAGCATTTAGGGTTCCGGCCAAAACTAAAAAGAAAATAGAACAATGATAATACCACAAAATAATGACAAAGAAAGCAATTTTGAATAGTCTCAAAGACAAAACAAAACCTATGGACAGTTTAATCAATATCTTATTTAAACTCACTCAATGAGATAAGAAGGATGAACGCAGCCAGTGCTCTGGCCATTGGTGTCTTGTCACGTCTCTCTTGCATAACTGAGTGGTTTCCACGCAGTTTGATGATTTGGGTTATCAAGGTGGGCCGAGTGGAAATCCCTCTGATTGGCTAAAACATTAAGAGCACACACCTCCAAATCTGCAAAACGATAACCTATTTTCATAAAATCTGGAATGAAAAGTAAAATACTTGAATGTAAAATTTACGTCTTTAAACTCTTAATGTTTATAAAACCCACAGCCGTGTTTCTCTACCAGATTACCATATTTACAGTTTTGTGTTGAGTAAGATAAATCTGTTGTTTCATCTTTCTGTATTTGTTGGGGGGGTATATTCAAAGTTTTATCATTAGTTTGTAGTTAAGAGTGCCAAAACATAATGATTATAGTGAAAATAGAAAATGACCTTAAAGCAATTGTCTCAACGTTATAAATGAGTGTTTTCTAAAGCTGCACCTAGACTTTCTGAACAAAACAATCAATTATTCTTAAATATTTCATTCAAAAACTACCAATGAAACTAAAAAGGTTGAGTATTTATTCTTAACAAATACTTCTTTTTTTTTTGCTCTCAACTAACTGATATTGAAAGCTTTACCATCGACCTAAATTGTTCTCGACGCCCCCCAGAAAATCTGTTTGTTGTTGTTATTTTGTTATTGTAAAACATGTTTGGCTTTCAACCAACACATCGTGGTTATTATACGAGAGTACATACACCCTGAAGCCATTTGTGTTTGTGCAATAGTTTTACAGGAAACCCATCTTAACTCAACAATTTTCATGAAACCTGAAACTGTAATCTAAGGGGATTGTTACAGACACAGTTAATGCCTCTGAAATGCTGAGATTTTTTTTTTTTATTGAACAATGTCTGTGAAGTGAGAGGGAAATCGTGCAACAAAAGAGGTCAGTATTTAGTGCATAAGTTGAATCATAGAAACCTGAATGTGTTTAAATGTGATTGAGGTCTTCTACGCATTACATTAATCTAGTCATCACATTGTAACACAGCTCACGTTCTCCCATTTAAATAGGTCAAAGAAATACAGTGAATAACATTATTTAACAAAAGACAGAAAATATTTGACATGCTTGATTCAAATATTGTTCATTTAAAAAGAAATCCAAAGTGTTAGTGACATACTTATTTACACAGATAACATTCTGCCATTCTGTAATTACATGTGAAAAGTGTATGTAATTTGGGGACCCACATTTTTTTTTTCAACACTTCATTGAGTTGGAGATGCCTTCAGACCCACATTTTTTCTGCTGTGCCAATTGAAAAGTATAAACTGATTTTGACACCTTTCCAACAAAAAAGGTGAAAAAATGCTTTTATCTAATAAATGACATAAAACTTTGATGAAAAAGAGAGGTAAGGCTGACTATTTCCAAATAATAATTGATTAGGTATGACATAAACATCTGGAAATGGATGTTTAAATGTTTTTGAGTCTATGTGGCTCAGGCACATCAACCTGATGTGTGCATCAAATTTGAGCATTAGGAAGATTTTTGTAACAAGAAAGTAAAATCCTATGGTACTATCTAGACATATAGAACACAATAGATAAATGATTGTATATGAGATAACCTGAAATGATAAGTTTGACATTCAATAAACAGTCATGGAAGTTCCAACGCTTGTCTGTACATTTTATAGTAGGCATGTCTACCAAAAACTCCTAATTGGCCCACCATCTTTTCTTGGGTAATTGGTTGTCACCACTGTCACTTCTGAGAAGCTCACTTTACAAACATCTGATGCGCCACCGAATCAGGTCTGTGATTGGACGGTCAAACATTTTGAAGTTAGTCACAGCATATTAAAAAATACTTGCGTCCCCCCCACTTCTAAAATCAAAATTTCGTCCATGATAGTAGGAATGTTTTCATATATTCTCATTTTCGTTGAGCAGCCTTGAAGCAGTTTTGGTGTGGCACAAAGCACAGGTAGATGTTGCACTTGTCACAAGAATAGTCTTTTTCTCTCACAGGTTGGCATTCTTCATCTATTAGCCTGTTCTTTTCATCAAAATTTGGCTTGTGGTCAATAATTTCATTTTTCACTTCAGGTACAGGCATCACTTCCTGAACTGGTCTATGAACTGATCTGCAGGGCACACAGTGTGGTTCTGAAGGCAAACTGGGTCTTCCGCATTTTGCTTCCACTGTTTTATGGACTCTCACCAGAAACTGGGCTAAATTCATCTTGATGTTGGCCCTAACCCTGACCTGCTTCTCTTTGTATGTCTGCTTCTTTCTCTTTGAACTCCAGTCGGCCTCTGCAGATGGCCACTCACACTGAGCCCGGTTCTGCTGGAGGTTTCCTCCTGTTAAAAGGGACTGTAGCTACAAGCAAGCGCAGTGTGAGGAATTGCCTTCGAGTCAATGAGTCGATGCAATCCACTGGTTTTCCTTTGGTAGAAAACTTAGAATCAATTTGACTGTATGATCTGGTTGAATAAAGTGCCTGGAGATAACATGTGTCGTAAATTGGCGCTGAATAAATAAAATGAATTGAATTGAAAAAAAATATGAATTGATTATAACTTCAACTAATATTAATTTTAGCAGTTAAGATTCCTCTGAGACCATCTTTGTTTGGCCAGTATGAACATACATTTATATTTATAGTTTAAAAAGGGCCCTTACTCTTCCCCTTCCTAGGGTGCTCTGCCATGTTTTCCTTATTTGATGTCTGTCACTCTCACAGAGCAAGTTGAAAATCATGAAATGATTGGAATTGGATAATAAAACTATTTTACCAAAAGGTTCAACAGACTTAGGGAAAATTATTGCTTCAAGTGGCATGAAAAGCAAAAAAAAAAAAAAAAAAAAAAAAAAAAAGGTTGAATTGTATTTGAGTGGTTTCATATTTACACAACCAATCTGCATTTAAATTAAAATTTATTTATGCATGAGATGACCTAAAGAAATAAAGTAAGTTTTAAAATAGAAATGTCTCTGTAAAGTTTCTTCCAAGTTTTATATCAGCTTTAAATATTAATTAGATTTAGTGTATCTTAAAGTCAAACATCAGAAATGGAAGATAGCAATTTTTTGTGATATTACAACTTCTATTAAACTGTTACCTGTATCCATCTAGATCAAATTTGGACCTAATTACTTTAGTAAACATTAATAATTCAATATATATAATGTCATAGATTACTCTGTAATAACACCGTTTTAACTAAATAAATCTATTTTATCCAAATATTAACAAGCAAATTTGTTTTTTTATTGGTAACTGCTATGTTCACATGATTAAGATTATTACTAATTACATAATCATAGTTGATGTTTTACCAGTCAAGAATAGGCCTATGATGATTTTGTATGATTTGTTTATTGACCTTGATTTTCAAGCACACAGTTTTCTGTAACACACCTAAAAATCTGATATGTTTTATCACACACCTAATGTAAGCCCATTATGATATCAATCTTTGTACTCACTTAGCTGTAGTTTATCTTTGGTTGGAAACTCTTCATAAATTGTGTCGTTATTGTTTGTCGTTGTTCTTCCCCAATTTGAGTAGGGAATGTGGTGGGTGGGTGTTAACTTTAATGCATTCTAGATCATTGAAAAGGTTTCTAGACGCTGCTTATTCATCACTTCACTGGCACACCACGCAGCTGAGAAAGCAGCAGATCTGTGCTTTCTTTTACTTTGATACTTATAATTGCTTTGTCTATATACAAGACTTTCAAGCCTGAACAAAAACTAGGTCAATAATCTTTTTAAAGATTCTTCTAAGACGACAAAACTTTCATATTTAGCTAGCCTGCTTTCGAAAATAAATATGCTGTGCTGTTTGTTTCAAAATATATAACCATAAAACTTTTAAGGATTGAGGAACACTATGAAAAAGATGATTGTAATTATGTACTTTTTAAGTTAAACTTTATAGAATCCAGAGTTTTTTTGTCATGAAGATGGAGTGTGGTCGTTGTTTTAGCATCCTAAACGGTCTCTCTGACAGAGAACCCAAGGTCCTCAAATAATTTATTTCATACTTTGACTACTACAAGGACAAGTCTTGCTATGAAACTACTATTAGCAGTTAATTAAACAAAGATTCTGTTGTTGTAAAGAGGGAATTGAATGTCATGTGACAACCAAGTACATGTTGTCGTATTCATACAGTATGTTGTGATTTATTGCTTGTCAACTTCTAATCTACAGTATAAAAATATTAAAATCTTTTTGCCGGTTTTGAAAATTGTATAACTATGTCTTAAATCTAAGCAAAACATTTTTTTCAGATAATCTGCTTATTGCAGAACCACCCTGCTTCTTACAGAGAACATTTCGACTATTTAAAGTGAGATTCTGTGATGATTGTCACGGTCTTGATTCTGTTATGTTTTACTTTGCTCCATGTTTTCTAGTTTTATTGGTTTAATTCCTATTATGTTCTATTTTCTGGATATATTTCAGTTCTAAGGTTTTTATTTGTTTCCCTCTGTTGCTCTCTTGTGTTAATCTCCTTTTCCCTATCCCCTTCCTTTGCTGCTCTGTTCACACCTGCTCCCAATCTGCTCGTTAGTCCTCTCTTTGTTCAGTCTCCCATAAATACACTCCTTTTGCAGTTCCTCAGGGCTGGTTCCTTGTCTTACTCTGTCCTACCTTGTCTTACCCTAGCTCCTTGTGATTATTTCCCCCTGATGTCTCAATGGTTCTGGTTTGTGTTACATTTTAAATTGGATTTTGGATTTTTGCCTCAATTGTTTGTGTTTATTATTTAAACTGCAAGAGATTACCTCAGCCTCTCTGCCTCTGCATTTGGGTCCTCTCAACCTCAACCTAATCATGACAATGATATGATCAGAAACACTACAGCTGTTAACCAATAACTGTACTAAAAAGATACATATTAGTAAAAAGATATATCAGGATAACCTTAGCCCCTCTAACTATAAGCCTTATCAAAAAGGAAAGTTTTAAGTCTACACTTAAAAGTAGACAGGGTGTCTGCCTCACGGACTGAAACTGGTAGTTGGTTCCACAGGAGAGGAGTCTG